CTGTTCATGAGGATGAGCGGCATATTTTCAGGAAACACAAACCACCCCTGTTTCAGCCAAATAGCATTTTGACGCGTAATGCCAGAACCCCCGAAGATAAAAACAACAAAGTCGGAGCTGGGTTTCCATACGGAACTAATGATGTAGAATACAAATTCACAAAATATATGGACCTCGACAGTAGATACTTTTAAACAAGTGGCTCACTTGGACTATGGAAGTACGCACCAAGTGAGCAAAACATTCTCCCAGTTGAGATAGCTACGCCTGCACAAGGTTGGCCACAAAATAAGTGGATGACTCAGGGGTCAAATGAATGAAACAGTGGGAACAGAAACGCCAGTTCATAAGCAAGTACCGAACACAACAAGGGACAAAAGAAATGTGGATAATTTCAAATATCAAAGTAATTGACGATACACACTCTGTAGGTTTGCTGAACTAACGTTTGCTATTTGAGATGAGATAGGTGGCTGCTTCATGCGATAGGCGAGGTTGACCGAGGACGAAAGATGACTTGATCAGTCTCAGACACTCCCTTTATTATTTATTTTTGGTAAACACCACAGTTAATCTAGGGCCTTACCCTCATTTGTACTTCGTTTGCAACTATGCGCTTTCGTTTTGATATCTCAGGAGCCGTCAATTGCTAATGAGGTGTGACATTATTAAGGTACAGAAATATTTTAAATGACTGCTAAAAGTAACAATGTCGTCGACCTTTATGGAACTTTGTTCCTGCAGTGTTTTTGCCTTTGCAACCATTCTAATTTTTGAACTTGCCCCCCTATACAAAGATAATGGGCACAAGCCACACGGAAACAAAATTAAGTATAGTGACTATTACACGAACCAAACCAGAGTTACAGGCGTAATATGCGATAAACTACCGTAATGACGTGCTTGCAAGCTGTTATTTATGTAAAGCTTAAGCCGGTAATTTGCGAGACAAAACCAGCTGGTGGATTGCAGACTTCTATGATTTCGACGAGTTTAGTTTCTACTGCCGATTTCATGCACAACGGTATTTTGACGTTTAAATTATAGCTAATATAAATGCGGAAGGGCTACCGCACTGGTCGATATCGGGTCTAATTTCGGGGCTAATGGGACTCATTTGCGTCTCAAACTCTGGAGATATTATAATAAGTGTGAATCATCAATTACTTTTGTGGCCATACCTCCAGTATGGAATTTTTGGTGGTGAGGACGACGCTATGTTTTCAGAGCCATTTGACAACACGGTTATCGCTGAGCTTCGACTAGCGTCCATTTCAAGGAAACAGGTATGCTCATTATCGAAGTTTCACTCAGTCAACGGAATACGTGCAACGGAAGACCATACTGGCGCTTACTGTTGGCATGCAAAGGAGTAAACAAGGCTAGTCTAGTACACCAGTTTTAAACTTTAGGATCAATTTTTTATGGTTTTTGCCATATGCATGTCTAGATCTGTTGGACGCAGGGAGTCAAGGGTCTAACAATTTGTGAGCGACCGTAAAAATAGCCGGTGGAAACATGAAGCTAGGGTGTATCCATGATGCAATATCCATCACATATATGTGCATCTGCTTTACCACTGCAACTCTCACCCTAGTTCGGTCTTATGAACTATAATTTATTGTTCTGATATGCAACAACCAAGCAGAATGCTAAGTGTATCCACGAGCAAGCAAGATATTTATGAGAAGAACTAGGCCAACAAAAATAAATGACCACATCTAGAATGGGTTAGTATGTGCTCTCTGTACCAAAGCTTGTGTTTATCTCTACTCATGGCATGTTATTGTCCACAGGTGTGATTTCGTCCACTTTTAAAACCCAGGGCCACAAATTGCATTAAAAATGGACAAACTAGAAAAAAATCAAAGGTTCTTCTCGATGAATGAAGGTGCTGCATTCCTTCATGTGTTTATAATTCACTACGGGTTTGATACCTATGTATTTCATTTTGTATTCACTACGGCCACTTTTAGCTTGGTAGGAAATCTGGTTTTCTGAAATGATGCTGTATTTTAAGCGCAGAAGGGCACGCCATGTCTTAAGAAGACGTGCTGAATTAGTCGAAACGCTTTTCGTCGGCAAATTTCTGTCCAAAAACACTTATAAGGTTAACACGGGAAATGAAATTTTCAGGGAAGGAGCCGTTTAGCATTTTTAGTTTTTGGTCTTCTTGTTGCCACCAGTCCTGGATATACTAGTGAAAGCAAAGTCTTCTGTATTTTGCACATGTCCCTGCACCCTCCCCCGCGAAAGATGTTTCGGATACTTTCTGACATATAGGCAGATGCCAGTAAAGTCCCTATAGTATACCTGGTTTGTAGCAGGATTTACAGCATGCTCCCTGACAAAATAACCCAGAGAGAAGTTCATCAATGTGCTCATTAGCTTTTAGACAGCAACCCGAGGCCTGTTTGCAAGAAGAGAACTCGGACGAACGTATGCAGCTGCCATAATTTTACCTCTATGATTCCAGTGCTAGAGTGCTGTTTTTATTGACCTAAACAGTCCCAATGTAGGCATGGATCACACTGGCTCTAACCATTGAGAACTAACACCACAGCGCTCAAAAACGCAAAGATTCTTCGTCATCCGTCTTCACATACCATACTTCTTGGTGACCAGACTGCAGGTAAAAGACGCCCTTCAATAACGCGCAAGCTTCTTGCTGGATTTGAACACAAGAAGAAACACCACAGGTCAGTTTATTCTAAATTCTCTAATGCCCTTTCGCTGGCTATGCACAACTGTAAATAAGGGAATCTGCAGTCCACAGATAACCACCACGGACAAATCACAAAAAATATCGACCAGTTAAACGACTTACTCCAAAAACGAGTCGTACTGAATTGCTGTCGCATACTTGTAAGGTACGAAAATGTCGCACTTTGTTATCGTGCGATGAGTTTCCCGTTTATTGTGTGCGAATAAAAAAACGGGCGGGAACTTTCTAAGCTAATCTGTAAACCGGAGAAGAGCAACAAATTGCAGGTACTTTGTGTGACATTGGTCTAATTGTTGGGGTCAAATGATTAAAACTTAAGGCAAGTCTCTTATTTTGTCCTGCACAGAGGTCTATCGTCCGCACTTAAAGAAAACAGACTTGCCGTGCAGTGGTAACCAGATGCCTATTAAGCGCTGAGCACATTGCTTAGATGATCCAAATATACCGTATAGACGACCTACAGCTGCTACCATGCGAAGGGTGAAAACGAGCCATGGGAGGTCAAACAATGACTTGGCAGTGAAATACGAGAGACATTACCAGCAAACTCAGCTGCGCTGGTCATGGCCGTCTACCTGGATGGGGACCCGAGACGGGACATATCAATGGTTGGAGAAATCGTCAGACACGATCAAGCCGCGCTCTCAGTGACACCCGTGCATCCAAGCTAGTGCTTTCAATGCACAGCTCTCTTCCCTATCCACTCACTTAAAAGTCCACTGATAGACCTACATTTACGCACCAATTTATCAGCTCCCACCTCCAATGCGCAGCTACCTGCCCTACATCCCCAAATCACTGGATGGACGGAATTGTGACAGCTACAACCACTGTACGACAAGTACGCGGTTCTTAAGGCTGATGTTCACTTCCTTATCAGAAGGTTCTGCACCACAGTGGCTCAGTAGTACTTGTTGTTGGTAGTTGATAGCTACCCTTCGTACAAAGCTTATTAATTGTGGCTCCTGTGGTGTATCAAACCTTTTGTTTTATTAGTGGATAAAAGCTTGCCACTACTAGATGATGCAGATATGATTCTGAAATATTACAGAAAGCACGCCCCTAGTTGACATTTCCATCTGGAAATGACACCTCATCGATGTGGCCACATTACACGTGGCGTTACATTTGCATCAGAAAAGGGCAAATGAAGGGGGGATATTCGTACTTCTTAGCCATATTTAGACAGATATTACCTCCCTCCTTTTAAACAAGCCACCTGTGAACAACAGCAAATCGCAATGATGGTTGTCATGGTGTGCGACGCTTCCTCAATTTAAAATAAACATTGCACAAGACCCCGTATACTTTACGATATTTAGCAACCCGAAAGTAGGAGTTGCCATAAAGTTTACGAAATAAGCGAATCGGGATTCACTGTACGATGCTAACTCCGCCTTATGAAAGACACTCGGTCTCAGCCGGATTAAAGCTTTCAAACCACTTTTTCTCATCAGAGGGGGGCGTAATGGAACTGGCATACACGCAGATACTTCGACTTTCTAATGGACTCACTAAAGCATACGTTTTCCCATTGACCTGGAACCCAAATATGTATGTGCTTTATCGGGATAAATTCTGCCCATTAGAGCCATATAAGAACGGGACGCACAGACAGGTGATACCGAGCTGGCTAAGAACACTTTAATGTCGGAGGGCGCCTTACCTCAGTGCAGTCAACTGAATGGTCTAACAAGCTAGCTCGAAAAGAGCTCTGCCCAGCGTTCCCCTCAGCCCGAATTAATATCCCGACTAATGTAAACCCATGCAGAGTTGCCTAGCTACCATTTTCGGTCATAAGGTATTATAATACTTGACTCTCCTTATTCGCCTCTTTGCTCGCTACAAAACCAAAGTTAAAGAGGAGGCCAATTCATATAAAAAACCGGAAATAGTGTAGCCGTGTCGGATCATTCAAAAATAGAAAAATCTCGTTATAATGTACAATCCCTTACATTCATTCTGTGCCCAAAACTCATGTCATCATCACCACCGTTTGATCACTCTCATACGAAACGAGGCATGGTGATCCAGTCTTAATAGAATAGCTGTAACTGAACATAACAAACACATGAAACCCCAAAAATGCTGATGCCCGTTATGTTTAGCAGTAGCACTGATGACGGCTATTCCCTGCTACACACTACGGAACTATGGGCAGTAACCGAGGCCTTTCCAAGCTCGTTCTATGGAGATTACGTTTTCTCTCTATGTAGCTTACGTTAAACCAATCGAACACATGATAATTGTTTATATGCCCTAAAGGCCATCAACTGCTAGTTCGGCGCGCAGGTGCCTAATTCCTCTGGTGATGTCCACGATTAAGTTTGCCAGTTCGGATGGCGAGATTTTTGACGTGGATGTTGCAATCGCCCGACAGTCTGTAACAATCAAAACGATGCTGGATGGTGAGTTCTTTATTATTTCCAGCCGAAACGTTCGATTGTCTGTTTTGACGGCGTAGCACTTGTCTCCGTTTCCGACGATAAGCCTATTTGGTTCGCAGAATGGTTACGGAGTCGAGTAGCTTCAAAACGACTAAATGTCTGCCATAGGCAACTGTCGGAGAAGTCTTTCCGCTGAGTCATCTACATGTAACAGGGTGTGTGGTGAATCGATGGATTCTGCACACTCGCGAGTGTGCGGGTATGTAGGAAAGAAATTCCACATACTCGGGGCAGCAGCACATACCCGGGGGCCGAACCATAGATAAAGGTCCTGAAGAAGTGACTTGCGTGAACTTTTCAGAAAAGAACGAACTGCTCACGATTCGGTAGCTGAATGGGTCATGCAATTTGACGAGTGATCTAGATGGTATCACCTCGCGTTGGCAGCTTCGCAAACAAGAAATAATGACGTCTTAATAGATAGCAGCAGACATGTATTTTTCTATACATTCTATGCTGGTCAGCAACGTAGTCCGATATCCCACCAGCCATTTCGCTTGTTTTCACTGTCTCTGGTCCGCACCTTTCGGTATGTACCGAAAAACGACTGGCCTCCCACTCCTACCGCTGTCCTGAACACACACCAACCCCCCAGGTCAGCGGCGAACGAAACTATGGCAGCGCTAATGTGAATATGTAAACGCTTCTTACAGTTGAAGCTGCGAGATGGCGCAGTCATTGGACCTCGAATTTTACCGTGGTTCGAACCCGACCTCTTCATCTCGACTTCTGTCTAGGCTTAAGCGACCTAGCGGTATCCTACTCCTCTTGCTGCATTTGGGTGGCATGACAGCTAGGCACAGGGAGGGTGTTGCAGCTGAGCGATCATCTGATTATCGAACAAACCCATCAGAGCCGGATCTTCGAACACCTACCTCCCGTGTCGGATATAAATGGCCACTGGTAAAATGTATCTAAAGCGTCATGCAGAGCCAGAATTTCTGTTTGCAGTCAACCTCATCCAAGTATTGGATCTCTGATATTGGGTCTCTGTGCCTTTGCAGGAGGCTGGGCTACATTTCGCCTGGCCGCAACCACAACTTCACCCAACGCCAAGTGAAACTGAGTGTCCGTACAGACTGAGGAGCTTGCTGAACTCCAAACGCCGCAGAAAGGAAAGGTGCGAACAATGCTGGGAACGTCCACAAGCTGTTCCACTGGTATTCGGAAGCCTCTTGTCGGCGAAATAACCAGGGCCGAAAATGCCCCCCTGATATCCAGTTGGGCACAGTACTTCGTACAACAATCACTGGCCACCTTGTACCCCCAATACGGAATCGTGGCCTTCAAACGAAAGGTGGACTCTGAATATTGAGTCGCCTTCAACCTCAGAAGTGTTCGTGTGTCTTTACTCAAGCGTCATCGTGCTGCAGGTCCTGAAGGCCATCTTCCTGCGCTTTCAGTCATCATCATCATCGAGAGCATGACGTTAGTGTCCAACACCAATGTTTCACTGTCGTCAACCATGATTTGAAAGCCTCATTGTAAAGAAAAGAGTAAAGGTGGACGGGGAAGGGACGCTAGGCTAGCTTACCACAATCATTCCGAGGTGCCTATACCTCCAGACATTCACTCAGGCGATCTGAATAGAAACTGACAACAGGGATAAAATAAAATAAAAATGTAATCGTTCAGCTGTAATACCCTTTCGTTTTCTAGCTACCATGTCATTCGAAAGAAGCACGAGGCAAGGGATACTGCCGTGTTGCCTAAGCCTAGTCAGGAGTCGAAAGGTAAAGGTCGGGTTCGAACCACGGATCTTTCGATCGGTAAATTCGCGCCCTACCCAATGAGCCATCTCGCCCCCTGTTCGAGGTTGGTGGCATCCTTCTCAGCCAGGGTCTCTGGGTCTATCCGTAAGAATGAGACCGTCCCAGATAACTGGAGTGAGTCACTAATGGACGACCCACAATTTTGGTGTTCTTTGACTTGATGTGTTCGATTCTGCCGATCGGTCAGTGATGTTAACTACACTTGCTCAACTGGGTATGCCCCAGAAGTTTGCGAATACAATCCGGTCCCTATATCCACATACTTTTGGGCGTTGAGAGTGTATGACGAGACCTCAAAGAAACTTCCCTGCAAGACGTGTCTTTCAAGGGTGTCCACTCCTCAATCTTGTTCAGCTTCGTCATTGATGAATTAATGAGATGAACGCTGAAAGGTCTTCAAAACTTTGGTATTCAAGTTGTGCTGGAGGGAACCTTTTCGATTTGGAGCGCGCGGATGACACCGTCACGAAGAGACTGGACCTTACCGTGGTGTGACGGCTTGCGCACCTCAGCTATATTGGGGAGTGTCTCGCGACACTCAGAGTCTCATACCAGGTTGGTCAGTGGTTAGAGGCCTGACGAACACAGTCTCCTGGCCTTCCAGGTTGGGGGTTGGAACATGTGGTGACTTGTTCCGCAGAAATGGTAATGCATTTGCATTTCCAGCCAAACACCGCTGCCTTGCGGTTAGGCTTTTGAGCCAAAGGCTTTGGATGACAACCCTAATCGTCCTCCTGTCTAGGCGTGGGCGCCCTGGCAGTATCCCAGCCCTCGTACAACCGTGGATTGCACATATACAAATAAACTCATGTCACATCGGCCGTCGCGTGGTGCCATCAGGCAGGTCGCCTTACCTGCTGCATACAACAGGGCGGGTAAGCGAAAGCAGGCTACTACTGATGCCTCCCTTCTCTTTCACATACGTTTTCTTCCCCCTCTCCCTACCCCATTAATAACTCTTTCCTTGTAGGCCCAGAACGTAGGACTGATGACTCCGTTCGTTCTGCATCGGTTTTGCACGCAGCATCTGCGCGAGATGACCCAAGTGGTTAGATTTACTGACCGGAAGGTCCGTGGTTCGAACCCGACCTCCGCCTCTCGACTTCCCCTGTCTAGGCTTGGGCAACCTGGCAGTATGCCAGCCCTCGTGCAACCTTCGGGTGGCTTGGCAGTTAGGCACAGAAAGGTTGCTAAAGCTGAACGCAGCATCTGCTCGTCACATGGCGCCGACATCTTCAGGTATCTCCAAATCAGTCCTCAAGCCCCGACACCCAGTCTATCTGGCCGCATTCAATATACGCACTCAGAAGCAAGCAGAACAATAAGCAGCTCTTGCAATCACACTGGACTCGCTTGGCATTGATGTGTGCTGTGTCTCAGAAACGAGAATCCCAGATACAAGCACAGTGATTGAGTTAACCTCCCCGTCAGTCTTCACTCGCTTCCAGCTGCGCACCTCTGGTGATCCAAAGTCTGCTGCGGTGGGATGTGCAGGGGTGGGTATTGTGCTGAGTCACTGGGCGGAAGTATCCTTACTTGATTGGATACCTGTTGATAGTCTCCTCTGTGCGGTTCGTCTGACAACGTCTGTGAAGGAGTCTCATAAGCGGCAAGTTGATAGATGTCTGTTTATCATGTCTGCCTACGCCCCAACTGACTGTAGCTCCGGCGCCGTCAAAGACAGGTTTTACGACGCCCTGAATGCCCTACTGCGGCGAGCTAAAAGCTCAGACATTGTGGTTGTTGTTGGATATATGAATGCGCAAGTGGGTGAGCTTAGTTCATCTGAGACTCAATTAGGAGGTCGACATGGACTGGACTCGGTACGTACGGACAATGGGGAACGATTGCTTCAGCTGTGTGTTGATCGCAGGCTGTTTTTATGCTGTACTAACTTCCGAAATAGCCGAAATCGTCTGGCCACTTGGTGTCCTCCAACAACAGGCCGGCCACAAACTCAAATTGACCACATTGCCATCAGTTCCCGATAGCGCGGATCAATAACTGACTACCGGTCGTTTTGGAACACATTTGTGGACTCTGACCACGCACTCGTCCGGAGTCGCTTCGCCCTGCGTTTCCCGGGGCCGCGTAAGGTGCAGACAAATCGCTTGTCGATTGAAAGACTGGCAGATCCGGATGTCAGGCGAACTTGCCAGAATAATCTTCTAGAGTCTTCCGAATGCTCCACCATCAGATGTGAACTCATACTGGGACGAGATTGTCACCTCTTTGCATAGTGCTGGGAATTTCGCCTGTGGCACGACCCGACCAGGTGCACTCAAGCACTGGATATCAGACCGAACGGTGGCACTACTTAAATCTCGAAGAAATATCCCAGCCGGTCCCGAACATAACCCGGTGCGAAGAGTTATCAGACATCAAGTGAACGTGAGCTTGCGAGCCGACCGTGAAGTGTGGTGGACACAGAAGGCCAAAGAAATGGAAGGGGCCCAGAAAGCCGGTAATGTCCCACGATTATTTCACCTGATCCGTGCGACCGGTCCCCGGAAACCATCTGTGAGTGAAACCATCAAACATCAGAATTGGATGACCATCTCGAATAAAGAAGAACGCCTCGACCGGTGGACTGAATACTTGGAACAATAACTGTCCTGGCCACCATCCCACAGGTGAAGTAGAACCCTGGACGGTGAACGTGGAACCACCTACGGCATCGGAGGTTTACGAATGCATATTTTCTCTCAGACGTCACCGAGCTCCTGGTCCGGATGACCTCCCACCCTCACTGTTCAAAAACAGGGGTGAAGTCCTCAGTCAGTGCTTGTCCGTTCTGTTTGCTTGCATTTGGGAAATGGAGTCTGGGGAAAAGCGGTCATATTGTTCGTTTTCCAAAAAGGGGCGCGTAATGAGTGTGATAACGTGAGAGGGATCAGCCTGACCCCGGTCGTAACGAGACTGTTGGCGTCACTTGTGCTTCGTCGCCTGGTGGCTCGTGAACAGCAAGTGGGATTCAGGTCTGCTAGGGGTTGTGTTGACCAAATCTACACACTTCGTCAGGTGCTAGAACAACGCCATACGTATAGGCGACCCACAATCCCAGTATTCCTGGATTTCCGAGGCGCATTCGACTCGGTTGATCGGTCTGTTCCTCTTGAGACGCTTGCCCACCAAGGAATGCCCCGGAAGTTTGTA